CGAGTTTGACAAGTAGACCTGGCGGACACTATCTGTATCTCAAACAATAACCGATGTCATCCAAACTGATGTACGAAAGTGAATGCAAATAAATGGCCCGGAATTTGAACTCGGCTCGCCGGTGTCTCCAATTCGCTAACGGCCTGAATATCTCGCCAAAATTATCGTAGGGCGATATTAAATAAAATCCATTCTCTGCCACGAAATGACGACGTATTTGAGAAAAGTTTTGGTTTGGTTTGGTTTGTTTTACGGCATATCAATCTCAATTGGTTATTTAATGCCAACAAGATTTTTATTGCTGGTAATATTTTTCTTCAAAAATGTATTGCTAGTAATATTTTTTTAAATGTATCAGTGGTATTTTTTAATTGTATTGCTGGTAATATTTTTTAAAAATGTATTGCTGGCAATATTTTTTTCCAAAAATGTATTGCTGGTAATAGTGTATTGCTGGTATTAATACCTATTTTTACGCTTTCATAGTTTTTTAAGCCCAGTTTGGGGTTAACTATTTGCCCATAGTTGGGACCCTAACATGTGCTACCACCCCGGGTTAGGGTGGATCTGGGAACACCAACAATTAACAGGTGGTTCCACGCTCCTCAAAGCCTCCTGATCAGAGGCCTTGCTGCCGGATGTAGTTTATTGTCTTACCCAGGACGCGGATGTAGTTTATCGTCATGCCCAGGACAGAAGAACAGTTTCAATTCCACAAAAGAACAGTAAAAGTTTTAAGAAGAGTGTCTAGAGTAAATCCATTTTCATATCATAAAGTTCACCTGCTACGAGGCTCGACAGTCACTCAATATAGAGGTTTACTTTAAAGATGGTTATGATGAATGAGGTGTGTGATATTAATGAATAATATAAAATGAAGATTATGAGAATACTAAGATAGATAGATAACAATTGTCGTTTGACTTGAAGAGGTTAAGCTTATATTGCACAAGCAGCATGGCCCGGCGTTGCCCGTGCTTGATTCAAAAATCGTACCACTCATACAGCAATCGCTATCACTTGACTTAAAATATTTTTGCTCTTCCTTGCCTTTAAAGGAATGCCCTTTGCCGTGCTGATGTTCCTACATGCCTTACTTCTTGCCTATCTCACACTGCGAATTTTTTCTAAGCTCTATACTAAACAAATCTGTTACGAAAAAAGAACTAAACAAAATGAACACAAAACGATCAGCTTTAAAAAAGGACTCGTAACTGGAAAAACCGAATGAAAAAAGAATGTTAACAACAAATATTTTTTCACAACCAACCCAGTTCTGCGGAATCAGAATCAACGTTGAGTTTAAGCAAGCGAATGAGCCAATTGGAGTAAAGTGCCATGCAGATTTAAATTTTTCCCACTTGTGACGAATGCAGCTATCGATTTTTTTTGCATGCTAGCATGCTAGTTATAATTCGTGTCAGTCAGCTGTTGGCACTCACTCTGGCCAGTACAAAATGGCCGCAAACTACATGAAAACTGCCGTAGAAGCATGAAAAAATCGATTATTTCCACTATCGATGGGAGTTGGGAAATGCAAAGTCGGTCTTGGCGTTTCCGCTAACTTGGAGCATGTTCATGTAGATTTTAGTGTCATTGTAATGACACTCTTTCGCCATTTGTTACTTATCAAAATATCCTTTAACCATTGTCTCTTAGCCGTGGTGTTCTGCTTATCATCCACGTTTTGGGTCTCGCCTCTTTTTTTTTTCCTTCTTTTCTTTCTTTTCTTTTTTTCTGCCTCGGTAAATGGTGCCACAATATATATATATATATATATATATATATATATATATATATATATATATATATATATATAGAGAGAGAGAGAGAGAGAGAGAGAAAAGGTAAGAAATTAAGAACGGATTAAACGCACATACAAGCTACTATAGTTTCGCCGTTACCTTGGACATCCCGAAGAGCTGATAACGGTAAAACTGTAGTAACTTGTCTATGAATTTGAGTCATTCTTATCTGTTAATATTTCATTTGCTCTGTGATTCATTTCATTTTAAAATACCTTGGCTACATTTTAATAATAATAACATTGACCAATAACACACACACACACACACACACACACACATATATATATATATATATATATATATATATATATATATATATATATAAGCGCGAGAGAGAGAGAGAAAGAGTGTGTCCGCCAATAATATTTACACACTTCAGGAACGGTAAAATGTGTATAGGTATTGTAATACTAAATTTATTCAGACATCACGAGACTAATACAAGTTAACTTTTGGACTCTACAATCACGCGAGATGCTCAAAATGGTGGCCTTTAACTTCTATAAATACGACGAACTACTGCTTGAACAATCTTGGCCAAAGTTTCCTGTGGGATTGCTGTGCATCCATTTTCACTTTCTCGACCGATGGCCGCCAATATAGTCAGTTTTCTACGATACACAAATCCTTTAGGTCCCTATAGTTAAAACTACGAAAAACAAATTTTATATATATATATATATATATATATATATATATATATATATATATATATATATATAGAAATTAAAAAAGAATTAACCGATTTCATTACGCTATATTTTAATAAGGAAAAGTAATAGAAAACTCCAGCCAAGTCACAAATATTCTACATACAAGCAAATTTTATTTCCTGTCTTACAAGTGTTCACTGTGGCCACCACCTGCAGCACGGGCAACATCAATTCGAATTCCACCCAGACGCGTATCAGCATACACCGATTCACTGAGTTGATCGCTGTAGTTATTCGATGTTTAAGGTCACCGAGGTTAGTGGGTAGCGGTGAAAAATAAACGCGATCTTTTACGTAGCCCCACAAGAAAAAAAATCACATATGGTGAGGTCTGTGGATTTCACTGTCCAAACACAAAGAACAATATCTTGATCCCCCCCTCATTTTCCGACCAACACATAGCTGGGGCACTTTTAAGCATACGCCAGATAGTGGATTGAGAGTTCGCAAGCTCACGACTAGCTCGATTTGTGGACTTACGTTGACTTCCCTCAAACGCAGCACGGACTCTTGCCACTTGTTCCTCTGAAACTCGTAGTCGTCCTAGACTTTTTCCTTTACACAGACACCCATTCTCTTGAAACTGCTTTAACCACCGTCGAATGTTCTTAAGAGAGGGCGGATTAATGTCGAATTGGCTTCGAAAAGCACGCAGCACCGTGACAACCGAATTTGTTTTCGCGAACTGAAGAACGCAGAACTCTTTATGCTGAGGACACGCCATTCCGGGGGTAAACAAACAACTGAACATTGCCGGATATAATATAATACAAGACTACAGCGCCCCTGTGGCAGCCATTCAATACTTAGAAAACTCCTCTTTCAAATGGTCACTGCCTCATTCCATGCTCGAAGACTGAAGCAATGTATCATGAAATCTGTTCATTCTTTTTAATAACCCTGTATATATGATACAAATATACTTTTAAAGTATGCTATATTTATAGGTAAAATGCTCAAAATCAGAGATAGAGCGTATGTAAATAAAACAATATAAATGTGGATGCTGGGATTAGCATCAAGCGACGACAGTCTGTTTTATGCTAATACTTTATGGGTGCAGAAAATGGCTAAAGCTTCGCGTAGTGGATAAGGGTGTATGAATGAAATTAGATTAAGTGATAGGGATGCATATTTTTTGCAGAGATATTTCAAGACAAACTCCATTTTATTGGCTTGGATTTTGATCTGAAATTGTTTATTTTTCAATTGGCCTGAACGATTTAACAAAAGAACTTATGAAATTAAACCATTTATAACGTTGTTAGCATGTGTCTGTCTTCTTCATAACTGTTCATTTCACCTCAGTAAAGTTTTTGTATATTCTTTCATTCTCAATAATAGATGGCATCTTAGTTGAATTGACGCCTTACTTGGGGTGAAACGATTAAAAATGTAAATGAATGTGTATGAGAGAGAGAGATAAAGAGAGGGAATGTTGGAGAATATTATAAATGGAATTAATAAAATTAAACACATTCCGGTAGAATGTTTTATCGATTGACGCAGTGTTTAAGAATAGTTTATAGGATGTATATTTTATAAGACGTTCGATGGAAAATAATCAACATTTTGGTACTTGAAAATTCTTGTGATAGATAGATAGATAGATAGATAGATATTAGCAGAGATAGATAGATATTAGCAGAGATAGATAGATAGATATTAGCAGTGATAGATAGATAGATAGATAGATAGATAGATAGATAGATAGATAGATAGATAGATATGAGCAGTCATAGATAGATAGATATGAGCAGTCATAGATAGATAGATATGAGCAGTCATAGATAGATAGATAGATAGATAGATAGATAGATAGATAGATAGATATGAGCAGTCATAGATAGATAGATAGATAGATAGATATGAGCAGTCATAGATAGATAGATAGATATGAGCAGTCATAGATAGATAGATAGATAGATAGATAGATAGATAGATAGATATGAGCAGTAATAGATAGATAGATATAGATAGATAGATAGATAGATAGATATGATAGATAGATAGATAGATAGATAGATAGATAGATAGATATGAGCAGTGATAGATAGATAGATAGATAGATATGAGCAGTAATAGATAGATAGATAGATAGATAGATAGATAGATAGATAGATAGATAGATATGAGCAGTAATAGATAGATAGATAGATAGATAGATAGATAGATAGATAGATAGATAGATAGATAGATAGATATGAGCAGTCTGAAATAGATAGATTTCTTCAAATTGACAGATTCATTTCTTGCAGATTTTATGTGAAAACATTTGTGTGTTCCTTTTTAGCTTTATTTTTCATTTTTTATTTTTATTTATTCATTCATTTATTTTTGTTACAAGAAAAAATCGTTTCCATTTGTCATTGTTCATCTTTGTTGAACTTGACATTTATTTATTTATCTATTTACATTACCTTTTGTCCTTCGGTTTTTCAGTGTTTCTTTTGGAACTTTTCATCTTCTGCTGAAATGAATGAAACGAAACTTTTTTCTTTTTTTTTTTTTAAAAAAAAGTGGGGGGAGGTGCAAAAAAACGAACAAGTGAATCAAACCGGAACATGAAAGCTCGGGTGTTATTTTAGCCAATTTCCTTAACTTTTATCTCCCCTGCCATTATCATCTTTTCCTCCTTTATTATAACCTTTGTCTTCCTTTCATTTTCCCTCTTAATATCATATTCTTCTTCTTCTTCTTCTTCTTCTTCTTCTTCTTCTTTCTTTCTTTCTTTCTTTCTTTCTTACTTACTTTTCCTTTCTTTCGTTTTTTTCTTTCCTTTGCTATCTTTATTTTCTTTTCTTTCAAACGTTCTTTCTGTTTTTATTATTCTTTCATTCATCCATTCTCACTTTCTTTCTTTTTCCTTTCTTCTCTCAAATTTCTCTCTCTCCTATTTGTTTTCCTCCCTCTTCTTCTTCATCACCTCCTTCTCCATAAACCCCTACTTCTAGGTCTTTTCATCCTCATCATGTTCCCCAACATCGCACGACACAAGGCCAAGTGTTAGAAAATTTTCATACGCTAATACTCCAAGCAGGAAGATTATGCCCTGAAAATCAGCATTAGGGAACTGGACTTTTATCAAAACTTCAATGCTGATTATAAATATTACTTGCTCGATATCTAAACCACGTCTCTTTGAGTCAGTGCTTAGTGGCTATTAGTATGATTTAGTGAGTTCGATGCTCAATGAATACCGTGATTCCCCATGTATAATACGCCTTCATCCATAATATGCGCCCCTAAAATTGTGCTGAAAGTGTGGGAAAATGCTTCTACTCATGCATAATACGCACCCTTGTTTGGTAATCAAACCCTATAAATTGTACCTCTCCAATATAATTACGGCCAGCGTTTCCTACTCTTATTAAAAATGGTTTGGAATATATCATATTATTCTATTCGCCCTTGCATGAAGTATTGCTGCCATATATGTTCTGGAGCCGCTTCTGTTTGCCTCGGGATTCTTGATAAGCTCCAGAGGCGGATATGCAATATAATTGGCCCTACAGTCGCTCTCTCACAGACGCGCCGTCGCCTCTCTCTGTCTTTTTTACAAATACTTTCATGGCAATTGCTCCGAGGAGCTGCATTCGCTGGTTCCCAGACGTCATGATGTCCAGCGCCTTACGAGGCCGGCATCCCGCTCTCACCCTTTCACTGTCGAAACTACTAAATGTAGCCGTCTCTTCTACTCCAATAGATTCATATCTCGTACCTCTCGCCTGTGGAACTCCCTTCCCTATTCCAGTTTCCCTGAGAGCTATAATCTCCAACTATTCAAATGTAATGGCAATCGACATCTCCAGTTGCCTTGATCTATCCACTATCCTTCTCCTCATCCTTTCCTTTATTACTCCTATCTGATCTAACCCCTTGCGTCCTAGTGGCTTCCCGCCTTGCTTGGGGCGAAAAGCTTTAAAAAAAATAGTTTTATGATAATTCTTATTTTATTTTACAGCAATTTTTTAACGCCTTTTGTAGCTGTGCATAATACGCACCTCTGATTTTGCTCATTATTTTTTAGAAAAAAATGCGTATTATACATGGGGAATTGCGGTAACCACAGTGATAACCATATGCTAATCTTATTAAACAAAATTTAACTCAATTATTAAGCCTAGTTTTAACCGTTGAAAATTTCACGGTTTTCATATCTTAATTTTCTGATGAATAATATTTCTTATTATTCTAAGTTAATGATTCAGAAAGATGATGGCGAGTTCTACAGAAATAAAATATCCGTAGAAATTCCCCAATCGGATTGTTAAATATTTGAGCTTAACAACTTTAACAAAACTATTGCAATAACGATTATAAATAGGAATACTAGTCGTTATTTAAAGAAGTAAGGGGGTACAAATGAAAAGATTTAATATTGACAACTTTTTCTATTTTTCTGAAAAAGTCGTTAATACTTCTATTCTCCCTTCTTTTTTCTTTTCTCCCTGAAACTAAGTAGTTTGTCCCCTCTTTCCACGCGATTAAAACAGAATAGTCCATTATTTATGAGGTATTGACAAGACATAACGGTCGTGCGAAATTCCGAAGTGCGGGACAATAACAATTATAATAGGATTATTATTATTATTATTATTATTGTTATTATTTCCGTTCTATCCTTTTTCCTTCCGGCTACCAACCAGAGATCTAAGGTCAGAAATGGCACCATGACATTTTTCTCTGAACATATTTGTAAAAAACAAAAATAAATAAATCATCATCATCGTCATCATCGTCATTATATTTCAATTTCTGCTATGGTCACACTAACTACCAAGTCTACAGGAAAACCTAAGGCAGGTAGTGATCTGTTGTTATGGCTACATTTCCTGATTTGTTTTTCTAATTCCCATGACACCACTAGCATTACATGGACAAAGTTCTTCTTAGTGTGTGGACTGTACTTATCAAGACAATTTTTTGTATTTCTCTTAAGCTGGAATTTCCATGGACTTTTTCAATGTGTTGTTGTGTTCCTTTTTTTATCATTCCAAGCGCACCTACTATGACTGGTACTATTCTTATTTTCAATTTCCATATTTTTTCCATTTAGATTTCCAGGAGTTTATACTTCAGTAGTTTTTCAAATTCCTTCGTTGCTATGTTACTGTCCGCTGGGCGAGCCATATCAAATAGTAGGCAAGTTTTTTTTTCTTTTCGGTTTTTGACAATTATTATTATTAGTAGTAGTAGTAGTAGTAGTAGTAGTATTTTAGTATTTTCTCAGATAATTTCTTAGTATCTCGTAATAAAGGCATAGATAGCAGACCACTACCAGAAGTCTTAAGTAATATTCAGTTTTCCTGATTCATAAATTTTCATAACATTTCAGATTATTCTTACTGTTCCAAAGAGGCTTCATTTCTGTAAAAGTTCCACTGAGAAGTCGATGCCAATTTTGTTTATCCATGTCTTTATTCTGTCAAGTATTGTACCAAGCACACCAATGACAGCTGATATAACTGTGACTTTCTTCAACTTCCAACGTCTTGCGAGTTGAAACTTCACCGGTTACTTTTCTTATCGTTTTTCTGCTCTATTCCTGTGTCGGAAGGACACCACTGATTAATGATTTATCTTTCTTTCATTTTATTTTATCTTCCACCAATATATCCGTTTGTTTGCGCTTTAGGTTCTCATTCGTTTGTACTGAAAAATCCCACAAAAAAAATTTCTTTATGTGGCGTGGGGATACAAGTATAAAAAGAAACCAAATATACATTCTAGCATACTCCTAAGATACAGAGGAATTAACTTGCGTAGATAGAACACAAGCTGAATTTAGATTTTACTTACCCATTATGACAGCATATAAGATGCACCTCCCCCCACAAAAAAAATGGCTAAATCAGATCACTGATTCTGATACGAGCTTGAGACCTCTTGGAAAATAAAATGGATTGGTTTCGAATTTGCCTTATCCACGGTTTGGGATTCAAAGTTTTCCTTCTATTAGACTGGTTGCCACCTGTGGTTGGAGAGGCCAGTAAGATGTGCTATTTAACCCGGGGAGGAGAATAGACTGGATTCAGGCCGTTCGTAAGAGTAATAGTGTACTACTACTACTACTAATTCTTTTTCTACTACTACTACTTCTTCTACTACTACTTCTTATTTTACTACTACTACTAATTCTTCTTCTACTACTGTTACTTCTTTTCCTACTCATACTACTACTACTTCTACTACTACTACTACTTCTTCTACTACTACTACTTTCTCTTCTATTACTACTATTACTACTACTTCTTCTACTACTACTACTACTTTCTCTTCTATTACTACTAATACTACTATTACTACTACCTCTTCTTCTTCTACTACTATTACTACTTCTTCTACTACTACTACTTCTTCCTCTACTACTACTACTAATAATTCTTCTTCTACTACTACTACTACTTCTACTACTACTTATTATTATTATTATCATTTGATTGAGTGATAGAGTAGCACGATAACAAAGTGAAGCTCTGATAAAACTATCCGTAGCCCAATATACCCATCAAGACAATCAGTTTTATAAGGGTGTACCCGGGTATATGCTTCACAGCCAATTGTGCGCGGCAAGTTAGGATAAAAGTTACGCATAATCTTGCTAATGAAGCCCCGTTATAAATACGTTAAGGTCAAGTAACCCAGTCCGTTCAGATGGTCTCCGATCGAGAGTATTTCCATGTTTCTAGATAGGACTCCAAATTCGCCTTGGCTGCCTCATCTTTCAAACTTAAAAAAAATTAATGAACTCTCTCCCAGCTTCTTTCTTTCCTGTCATTTACAATCTACAAAATTGTAAACGCAATGTCAACCATCATCTTCTGCTTCTTTGAATCTTGTTCTTTTTATTGTCGTTTCTCCTCAGTAATGTTTTCTCAGTTTCCTTCACTCTCAGCAACCCCTCGTATTTTAGTTGCTTTATCGCCTTGTTTGGGGTGAAATGATAAAAAAAGAACTCCCGCCCATAAAGAGAGATGAACATCAGCCCCTGTTCGGATATGTCTAACTAATTACGGTCTTGAAATTGACGAGAAATTCTGTTATACTGAACAGGATATTTCGTGTAGCCCACTATAATTCTGTCAGTCAGTCAGTCAGCTAGGTGCCATGCATGATACACGCTTAGGCAATCATCTATCTTTCGATACATGACTGACGAGGCAGATTTTTTTTTCCCTCGGTAGGTTGCCATTTCTTTCTGCGGTAGACCAGTTGCCATCCAACGCTATAGAACCCGGTCTGTCCTGCTATTTACCCATAGCTGGGAGGAGAAGAAGAGGATTCATACCTTTCTCAAGGGTATTAGCACGTACGTGAATATAATGGATTCGACTGGAATTCGAACTCGGCACTCCGATTCCTCAATCCGAGCTGCTATCCATTATTCTACATGACCGAAACAAAGCATGTAAATCCATTAATACGTCCAATCAATTAAAATAAGAATCCATGTGAACAATGCTATTATTATTATTATTATTATTATGCACTTCTTCATCTTCATTGTCTTTGTACTTTTTTCTTTTTTGTTGCTTTTATTCACTTCATCTTTCTTATTTGTGTCATTCTTTAAATATCGTCTTTAGTGTTTCCTTTTTCTCCAACTCCCCTTTTAGTTTATTTTTTTCTTTTTCTCTCTCTTCTCTCTAACAGAAGATTGTCGTCTTTTCCCCCTTTCTTCATCCCTTCTCTCTCTCCCTTTTCTCTCTCTCTCTCTCGTTTCGTTTTACTTTTCTTTTTCTCTCTAATATTTAACAGAAGATTGTCGTCTTCCCCCTCTTTAATTCTTCTCTCTCTCTCTCTCTCTCCCTCTTTCTCTTTTGTTTCTTTTTCTTTTTCCCTCTCTTCTAAAAGATCATCTTTTTCAACTCTCTCTTTTTTATCGCTTTCTCATTTGTTTTTTTTTTCTTTTTTTCTCTTTTACCTAAAAGATTATCATGTTTTTTTACTCTCTTCGCCCACTCTCTCTTTCATTCTCTTTCATTTCCTTTTCCTTTTTTTCTCTTCTATCTAAACGATTACCACTTTTCGACTTTCTTTACTTACCTTCTCTTTCTCTCTCTCTCTCTCTTACTCTTTCGTTTCTTTTACTTTTAATTCTCAATTTAAAACTCATATTCATCATTCAGCCACCATTACAGACGACACCGCTTTTTATGCATCAAAAAGCCTCGATGAAGAGACTTTTTTCCTTTAATTTATTCCTTTTTCCCGAATCTCGGCCTTCTGTCTATCATTGTTTTTTTTTTATTCTCTTCACACACAACGTTTGTGTGCAGATTAACTTTTAAGCTTTTTGCGGGCAAAGGCGACCAGAGGAAGGGGTTTCTGATTTGCCTCACATACAGGAACATTATGGAAACGGCTTACAGGGTGAAAAGAAGGTGGAACTTGCCAGACCCCGATATAAAAAGAAAAAAAAATATATAAAAAGGGGTCGCAATGATAAAAAGAGGTCCGAAAAGCAATGACAATTAAAGAAATTGTGGTCTCTGGAAGGGGACGGCTTCTTCCTTTCTGTATCGGCCTCTTTTATACCCTTTAAAGTTTGCTTGTATTAATAGTAGCGACTTAGGTCTGTGGGAGAGTGTCTATCTGGAGCTTAACTTATATCCGGAGATGAGTAGATATGAGAGTATGATTGATTTTACTGGAGGTACACGTGAGCGTAAGGCTAATGACATCTTTCCATGTGCAGCCTAGCAAACGGCGTAGACGTCTAATGAGAAGCAGAATTAAACTTCTATCCCAATAAGGGATTGATGAGCCGGGCATATGATAACTCGTGTGATAAGCAAGTGAGAAAATTACTGATGGGACATAGTACAATTTCAGAACCTGCATAATTCGTTACTGATCTATCTATCTATCTATCTATCTATCTATCTATCTATCTCTCTCTCTCTCTCTCTCTCTCTCTATATATATATATATATATATATATATATATATATATATATATATTTCCGCTTATCCTGCAAAATCAAACGCCTTTTTCTTACACACAGTTTTATTTTTCATTGCTACCTAAAGAAGCGGTACCCGGAGACACGCGTCGTTTATAAGCATTTTCGACTTCGTTTCATCATCATCCACTTTTGTTTTTCAGTTGCATTTTACAATACACACGCACACACACACACACACACACACACATATATATATATATATATATATATATATATATATATATATATTTGTGTATTTAGCAGCAACCCTTCTTTATATATATATATATATATATATATATATATATAATATGTGTATAAATGTATTTAAACAACAATCCTTCTTTATATATATATATATATATATATATATATATATATATATATTTGTGTATTTAGACAGCAAACTTTCTTCAATGCACATATCATTGAATACGACAGACAAGGTGCTTTGATTTAGTTTTTCATAAAATTTTTCATGTGATCTCGTAATTTTTTTTTCTTTTCGGGTGATAAATTATATAAAAACTGTCCAATTGTTCTTTTTATCTGAGCTCTTTCGGTTATACATTTAGCCATTTTAAATATATATATATATGGATGTATATATATATATTAATTAATGTTAATGACTGGCCACTCGTATTCGACGCTACCCGTCTTCTAGGACGTCTAGCTAAAAACTATTGCAAACGCTTGCTCAGGTGCATTCTGTATTTGTTCAACACCCACAGAGCCCACCTGTGATTTCTCCATGTTATCTAGCGTCATCAACAATATGAACAAGGCCAGCATACTCAAACACTCGGTCATGATGACTTGTGACTTTGTGCTAACACAGATATCGACGACCCCCGAAGGTTCTGTCTACCCAATTTTACTTACATGGATCATTCCTTGGCAAAAGTGCCGCACGCTGAGATCACCTCCTCCAGACCGATAACATCAATGTCACCTTGCTGGCAAATTGATTATGGTGGAATTCGAACCCGGGTCTCATGGTCAGAACGTGGTAATGCCATCATTGTCTCATGGTCAGAAAACGAACGTTCGGACCCCTCGCCCACACACACACATATGTATTTCCAATGTAAGCAAATACTCAGACAAATTCAGACCTAGGACACGTCATGCTACGTACACGGGGTCGAAGCATCCTTATTTCCTTCGTATCTAACTGCTAAGAAGAAAGGTTTACCCAGACAGCTTCTTCCAAAGAACGGTCCCTGTGTGGAAAAGAATCCAGAGAGGATGTTTCTCTGACCACAATCTTAACCTCTTCAATTCTAGGGTCAATCGTTATTAATCCAACATATACTCATCATCTGTACTTCTTATTTCTCTCCAACATTGTTCAGTAACCATCAGCCTTCAGTGGTTCTTGTGCATCGTACTGGGTGAATATTTATTTAATTTTTTTTCACTGTGTTGTGGAGTGGGGAATATTTATCGGCATAAATCTTTACCTACGCGTGTATATGGAATGTTATAATGTAAAGATAATGAGAGAAAGGGGAAAGGCTATAAACGACGCATTTCGTCGAGAGCGCTCGCCCGCCTAGCTTGGGGTTAGAATAAAAGAAGAACAAAACGTAAGGAAAATGCGTTGGGATATCTGGGGATAAATGGGGGGAGCATAAATCAAATTATCTTATTGCATCTGATCACCAGAGAGTATCTATCACCTTGTTTGTTATATATATATATATATATATATATATATATATGTGTGTGTGTGTGTGTGTGTGTGTGTGTGTGTGTGTGTGTGTGTGTGTGTGTGTGTGTTTCGGAGCCATTTGGTGTCTGTTGGATTTTAAATCAGTCCACAAATGTACATATATACATGTCAACTCTTATATATGTGGGCATACACACATATTTTAGAGCCTTTTTTCTCATGTAATACTTGTACACATATATGCACACACACACATACATATACATATATATATATACATATATATATATATATATTCATATATATATATATATATATATACATACACATCTGTAGGCACACCTACATGTATATTTTCCCCCTCATATATACCCGTGCGTACACACACACGCACACACACGCACACACACATACACACACAAACACACACACATAATATATATAAGAGCAATTTTTGTGTTATAATACTGGAGAGACGAAAATATACAGAGACATGTTCGTCTAATTTAATTACGGAACGATCGTTGTTCCAACAGAATGATCATTTTTCAACAAGAAAAGCTCAGATATGTTTCCGTCCATTCTCAGGTCCAAAGACAGAGTCGGCAAATTCAACGAAGGAACTGCGTGCAGCAAAAACAAATGATCAGATGAATTTTCTTGGCAACAGCCAACAAAAACAAATCCTGTGTCGTCTGTTATTTGCTGGCTTTCACTCTTTCTTGAGAAATGCTTTCTCAGGCGGAAGAAATGCTTCTACATTACGATCAATTTTTTCTTCTCAGCATTTAGAAAAAAAAAAGAAAAGGAAATTAAATCAAACTGTATTTGATTTCATATAAGATACTTTTTTTTTTCCTAAAATGCTTAGATTTGCTTTGTCTGATATCAGAAGCTAGAATTTTTGTTAGGGTTATAAGTTATGCGTACAGCAGGAAAAACAATTTTTTTCTTCAGTATCTACAACTGACAAAAGGGCGCGTCATGTATACCATCTTATTCGGAATATTTAACGAGACGGAAAATTGATTTCATAGCAGGACAAAAGACTTTTCCTCGAAGATTCACTCAAGCAAACCTTTTTCTTAAATTCTAGGATAAGGCTCATCATTGCTTGTTAACTGTTTCAGGCTTGCAAGAAACGATTCTCACCAGGAGATTATTATTATTCGACACTCCGCACGTAGGAGCCCCTTGAACAAAGGCATATTCAAAACAAAAATAAAATTCAAACCTGTATCTTTTATTTCGTTTCACCGCGCCTTAAGTTCAATTTTTATACTGACCAATTTTCTAACAACGTTCTATCATTACCGCGTGTATCCTGAATTTGCACCTATCGCGATGAACGTGTGCTCTCTCTAAGAGGCCCCGTAACTTGGGCGCCTAATGAAAGTTAAAATCAACTCAGACCTCAAGTGAAACTCTTATATACGATCCATGTCGTCTAAAGATGCTAGGAAAAATGGCCGATCCTCTGTACCGCTCCAGTAAGTATCATCCTGCTATGTCCTATCTTTACAAGGGCCAGACGCGAGAAGGATGAAATAACACAATAATAAACAGATATCCCATAACAGCCAAACAATGGATCCATAAGTTTAGCCAGAGCGTACTTGGCCGAAACGTTGCGTCTATAATGACATCTATAATAATAATAATAATAATAATAATAATAATAATAATAATGATAATAATAATAATAATAATAAATACGAGAAGAATTGGTCGAATAGATTAAAAGGATTAAATCCTGGTAACTTTTACATTATGGATGTTTATTTGTTAGGCCAAACCAACGGAAAACAACTCGTTCATACAAAAGCAGTCGGTCGTTACAAAAGAAATTGTATGTAAAGGAGCAAGTCAACATTAAGGGTCCAGCCAACACAAATGCAACAGAATTTCTCCATAATGAGTTCATAACTCAAACGGCAATTGTCATGCAAGACAAACTCTTTCACCAATACAAGAGGGCGGGGTTTCAAACGTGATGGATCGATCGATTCTGACTGACATGATGTACAATACAAAATACAGAGAAATAAATCAATAATAGATTCGGAATGAAAAATAGTGAGAGATACACTTATAAGCTCATACAGGCTGATAAGAAAAGAATATAGCTAGATAGATAGATAGATAGATAGATAGATAGATAGATAGATAGATAGATAGATAGATGAAACAGACTGAGATAGATATGAACAGTCAGAGATAAATAGATAGGTGACCAGAGATAGATATGAGCAGTCAGATATAGATAGATTAATACATAGATAGAGGAACAGATTGAGATAGATATGAGCAGTCAGAGATATATAAATAGATGAACAGACTGAGATAGATATGAGAAATCTTAGATAGATAGATAGATAGATAGATAGA